ATAATGTCCCCCACCCAAAAATCTCATAAATCCCTTCCAAATATATTTTTTATGACTCGACTATTTTTTTATACATATTTTCTATAATATTGAATGCAATATTGAAGAAGATATGGGCGTAATATTGCAACCTAAGTTGCATGGAAACAGGCACGGGTACTGGTACTGGTGCGGGTGCGGGACACGGCAAAACTGTAAAATGTAGGGTACGGGGACATGACTATATATATATATATATATATATATATATATATATATATATTGAATTAATATTGTACATAAGATAATTTTTTTTCCCTTCATGTGTCATTAGAATTAGAATTCCGATCATATTTTTGAGTTTCTTTTATCATATTGATTATCGTGAATTGTAAACTACTCATTTTTTTACTAGACATCTAAACGACCATTAACTATATAGTTTTAAACTTGGGTATGGACTGAAACGAATCCGACCCGTATCTCATTAGTTTAAAAAAAAGACGGATGTGAAGTGTAAGCTCTACGTCCAGGAAGCCTTTAACAAGTGTTTTAAATTAACACTTATATATTGTAATTGAGTACATGTTTAATAAATGCATGCATATATTCAAGAAGTGTCCATGAAGTTTGAGTACAGCAAAGTGTCGGGTACGTGTCCGGTACGGGTACGGCTTCATTATAGAAGTACCCGGGTAACATAGATTGCAACTAAAAGTTTTATTCAAACTCGCACCTTTAGAAAGAATATGATTTTCTATAAGATATGCTCTTCTAAGTCTCTGATGTGGGTCTTGGAGAATTTTTTTTTTTTAAGTAATAGAAAATTTCAACAAATTCCTGACAATTTTGAGTGTAAAATTTAGTTAAAAGAACCTGCATATAACTATTCACATAGAGATTGATGCTTATAAAATACTAGCAATTCCAGGGTATTTTGACTGTTTTAGATTAAGGAAAAAGAAATATGATATTATTTGTGTCAAGCTAAGTTGTATAGAAACGGGTACGGGTCCCGGTAAGGGTGTGGCCTTGTGGGTACGGGACACAGCAAATTTCTAAAATGTAAAAGGTAAGGGAACACGGATATAAATATATATATATATATATATATATATATATATAATCTATCTTGGTGTGGTACGGGACCAGCAAATTTCTAAAAATGTAAGTAAGGGAACACGGATATATATATATATATATATATATATATATATATATATATATATATATATATATATATATATATATATATATATATATATATATATATATATATATATATATATATATATATATATAATATATATATATATATATATATATATATATAATATATATATATCCTTGTGGGTACGGGACACACGCAAATTTCTAAAATGTAAGGTAAGGGAACACGGATATTATATATATATATATATATTATATATATATAATATATATAATATATATGAGATTAATGAGTATCTTGTCATAGGAGGGGATTTCCTCCATGACGGCCTGCTAAAATCACATGATTGAGCGACAATTGTGGATGATCCGCTCCCGTTGAACTTGATCTACATATTCTAAAAACCCAAACACACCAAGTTTGGGGTGAACCCGTGTCTCGTTTGACCCTTCATCCACTCGTATCAATTTTAACGGTTTTGAATGAATAGAACTTTTCACAGCTTGGCTCGATGGATGGGTCAAACGACGACGAATTCACCCACCAAACTTGTGTGTTGGGGTTTTAGAATAGTAGATCAAGTTCAACGGAGCGGGACATCCATAATGTCGCTCAATCATGTGATTTTAGAGGCGTCAATGACGGAAATCCCCTCCTATGACAAGGATACCAATAATCTCTATATATATATATACATATACATATCTATATACATCTATATGTATATGTATATATTATCTATGTACATCTATATGTATATGTATATATATATATATATATATATATAATATATATATATATATATATATATTATTTGTGTGTGTGTGGTGTGTCGTGTGTGTGTGTGTGGTGTGTGTGTGTGTGTGTATGTGTATGTATTGAAATTAATAATTTACATGAGATCATTATTGGTTTTCAATTCATTGTGCTATTAAAATTAAAATTTTCATCACAAATTTAAGTTTCTTTTATTATGTTGATTACTATAAGTTGGAAATGACTCGTTTTTAAGTAGCCACCCAAACAACCCTTTAAAATCATAGTTTTGAACTTGGGTAAGGGTTGAAATGAACATAATGTTTGTGATATTGACCTATTCAAAAATTTACCTTTTTTTTTGTACAACTTCGGATCTGCTTCCACAAACTAATATCCACCGCTGATCCACTCCTCAAATAAAATCCTAGCCACATAAGGAGAAAAATTGAAAACATAAAAAACAAAGATCCCAACCCAAGTTCTGAAACCCTTCCATAATAAAATATCAATTTTTCTTAACAATATGTAAAGCTACATTATTCTAATTTCACCACTACTTTTATAGTTCAACATAGTGTTTGGGTAACTCCTTTTTTGGTAGTTTCTAATTTGGCTTTTTCATATCCACGCGTTTGGTAACACTCCAAATAAGCTAGACTTAAACTTTATTTAAAAAAGTTATGATTCCCCAAGTTTTAAAAATCTAGCTTGTAAGCTCTCCTAAACAAGCTAGGCTTGACCAATCAATAACTTATCTACCATAAAAATTTTATAAAAAATTTATCATAAAAAACCAAAAAAAAAACCACCAAAAGCTGAGATAACGTAAAAGCTTATTAAAGATAAGCCCCCAAATACCCTTCCAAGTTCTATCATTAAAGTAGTAATAAAAGATATATGTGTTGGCCACTTTTGTTTTGATGATGATTTGCCAAAC